ACTCCTGAAATCTCTTCTTGGCCTTTTAGCCTCTTAGCTTCCTAACAACTTGGCCTTTGAGCTTTGCATCCTATACATCTTAGGTGTAGGCAAATAACTTGTGGAGGAAAGCAATGGAGAATTTTGGGTCCTTTTCAACGTGTCCAAGTTTTACACATTCCTTGCACTTTAAATTCTGGCTTCCATGGTTTCTTTCGTGTGTATTCGAACAATTTTTTTGTCATTTTGATAAGCTTTTAATAAAAGTGGTTTTCACTAGAAAGATGCTTTGATATAAACTACTCTGTTGTAACCAGAAAAAAGCATTTGTATGTTTATTACTATTTTCAGAAAACCAGTTGTTGGGTTATTTTGATCCATTCTAATGTGTGCATGATTTTTTTTTTTTTTACTAATTTCTGCTCTTGTCATTATATATTAATTCCTTTGTTCCTCTTCCTTTGGAACAAGAATTTTTCCTGTTTTCTCTCCTTTAATCTCTGAGATTAATATTTGAACCATTATTTTCAAAGTTTCATATTTTATAGTACCTACATTTCTAAACTATGAATTATCTTAAAAGTACTGCTTTACCTTCTGCCCTCAAGTTTTTGAGATTTCATTTCAGAACATTTTTGGATTTATATTATGATTTCTTCCCTTATCCAATAATTACTTTAATGCATACTTCTTAATATCTTACCACATAGGGTCTTTTGAAATTATTTTTGTCATTGTTTATTATTTTATTGCATAAGAACATACACTAGGACTTCAACCTTGGTATTTATCTGGAATTGATATATTTAGCAATATATAGTCATCCTTTGTTGGTTATGTGTTACAAAATGTGTATTTTTGGTTGTTGGGTAGAGTAGACTAAGTATATCTATACCATTATTAAAACATATCAAAGTCTAGGGACACCTGGGAGGCTCAGTGGTTGAGCATCTGTCTTCAGCTCAGGTCATGATCCGGGGTCCTGGGATTGAGTCCCGCATAGGGCTCGCTGCATGGAGCCTGCTTCTCCCTCTGCCTATGTCTCTACCTCTCTCTGTGTGTCTTTCATGAGTATATAAATAAAATCTTTAAAAAATATATATCGAAGTTTAAAGTTCTTCAAACCTTCACCTTCTTCTCAGAGAAAACTCAGGCCATTAGCAAACACAAATAGCAAAAACACCATTTGCTCCCTTCTCACTTACTTATATGTTAATGACTGACTGGCATTTTAACTACTTTATTTTAAATCTCAGTATATATTATTATTACTGCATTACACAAGAAGTATTTACTTGTATTTGTCCACACATTTTATCACATTCTTTGTCTTCATTCCTTCTTGCATCTCATTGTATTATCATTTTCTTTCTATTTGAAGTTCATTCTTTATCATTCCTTTAATGCTAGTCTGCAGGGGGAAAATTCAATTTTTGTACCTCTAAAAATTCTTCACTTCATTTTTGTAAGGATTTTTCTTTTCATTTTTTGTTCCAAGTTTTTGTTTAAGTTCTAGTTAGTTAACATGTAGTGTAATACTGGTTTCAGTAGTAGAATTTAGTGATTCATCACTTACATACAACACCCAGTGCTCATCACAAGTGCCCTCCTTCATGCCCATTATCTACTTAGCCCGTCCCCTGCCCACTTCCTTCCACCAACCCTCAGCTTGTCCTCTACAGTTAGAAATCTATTTCCCGGTTTGCCTCTCTCTTTATTTTCCTCCTTTGTTCATCTGTTTTGTTTTTTAAATTCCATATGTGAGTGAAATCGTGTGGTATTTGTCTTTCTCTGACCAATTGATTTCACTTAGCATAGTACTCTCTAGTTCCATCCATGCCATTGCAAATGGAAAGATTTCATTCTTTTTTATAGCTCGCAACAATGAGCAGTGAATGATAAGTTATTGGTTGGCAGTTATTTTTTTCAGAACACTGAAGATATTGTTCAATCTTGTGGCTTTTATTGTTGCTTTTGAGAAGTTAGATGTCAGTCCAGTTGCTTCTACTTTTTCCTTTTGGTAATTTAGTTTTTGTTTTAGTTTTAGATAATATTACTGGGAATTGATAAAGAAAAAAATCCCCATGATTTGAAAAATAACTGTACTTTGACTCAACAAATTGATAAACTGCAAAAGGATATATATATATATATATATATATATATATATATATACACAAGACTATATATCTAAGTTCAAGATTTTAACATAAGATGTCTCAGAGCTTCATGTCAAAATAAGGCCACAGAGAAATCTTTTAATGGTACTTCCATGTAAATTCATGTTTTCCCAAAATTAGACCATTGACTGTCCCTATAACTTGTGTAGTTTGCAAATCTAACCATTTCGTTTCCAGGCTACTGTTACTGTCCCCTAAAATTGCCTTATGACTATTCCAGATGATGAAACCCTATAAATGCCCTTTTCTGTTTCCCCCTATTGTGTCTGAGAGCCTATGTTCCCCCTTGATCACCAAATTTAATAAATTCAGCTTTTAATTGTCACTGATTTTCCTGGTGGTCTTTGACAGTGCTAGATAGTCACAGAGGCCCCAGAGAGGTCTAGCCAGACTACTCACAATTAAGGTTCTAGTCTGTTCACTCATTTATTGGTGATTCCACTGACTACCTGTGGGCAGCCCAGTCCAGGGTTTGCACATTCATGGTGATGAGGTAAGTCTAGCACTTTTTATTGAGTAGGGTTTAATTTATTTGTCCTAGGAATCAGGTTTCCCAGGACTTTTTCATTATCTCTTCACATCTGTTCTTGTTTTCTTTTCCCTTGATGGAGTGGTGGTGAAGAAAAAGATGGTCTGTCAAATCTTTGACACTAACTATCTTGTCTATTCATCTGCCTTTTATCTATATTTTTGCCAATCTATAAAAATAAATCCCAGGGAAGGAGTTATGTGTTGTTAGCTTACCACCAGGAGTAATAAGTAAAATGTTCTTTGAACAATACCTTGTCTAGGACCAATTATCTTGGATTAATCATTAAAGTCTTATAAGAACCTTCTCCAGTCTTGTCTATATGTTGGAAATTTGCTGTAAGAGAGACTCTTCTTCACATATTCCCCTGTTGTAGCCTGCTGATTTCTTGTCAGAAAAGCTTTGGATTTTCCAAGGCCTTCACTATCCCTATTATCTTCTTACTTCCTGGTAATCATTGACTAAATTCTCAGAAATTAATTCTGTACTATATCTCAGTGAATGATTTGACTTTCATCTTGATGACTCTGATTATAAAATAAATTTGTCTTTTTTTTTTCCACTAGCAGATGTGGACTACTCTCCCTTTCCAGCCATCTAATTATTCATTCTTTGTCACCTTAGATAGGTAATTGGTTATTTTGGAAATATCAGAGAAAGAGTACACTTAAGCCTCATTGGATAAGGTCTTACTAAAATCACCACCACTACTTCCATACTACCACACTTATTACAGATATTAAGCTGTAGTCCTCTAGTAACTTTACAAAAGTAAATGGTCCAAATGATAGGACACCTAATACACAGGTGGCCCAAGCTCCTCAGAATTAGGAACTAGACTGCTCCACTCAAGATGACTGAAACAAAACTACCCTCCCTCAAGATGACCAATGCCATTGATGGTGATTGGATCATCCTCTCAGCTATTTTATCTCCTCTGTGCTAATTTAAGGTTTTAGATTATTTGGTAGACAATCCTACTAACACAATACTACCCAGACAGCTTTCTTGAAAATCAATATTGTCATGTTTCTTCATTCATTCATGCTGACAAAAGAGACAAACTCCTGAAACTGATCAAGAAGAAGTAGGAAATCTAAGTATACTGATAACAGATAATTCTTACAATTTCCCACAAAGAAAAGCCCAGACCCAGGAGATTTCACCAGTGAAGACTTCCAAATGTTTAAGGAAAGTTTCATATCATTTTAATCAAATTTGCCAAAAAGTATCACAGGAAGCAATGCTTTCTAACTCATTTTATAATGCCAGTAATAACCAGACACAAATAAAGTCAGCACAAAAAAAGATGACTATAGGTCAATATCCGTTACAAATATAGATGCAAAAATCCTTAACAAAATACTAGAAAGTCGAATCCAACAACATTTAAAGAAAATTAAATGGCATGACTGAGAAGGATTTATCCCAGGAATGTAAAGTTTATTTAAGATAAAAAAGTCAATCAGTGCAATCAATGCATCATAACAATAGAACAAAGGACAAAAACCATATGATCATCTCAGTTGATACAGAGAAAGTATTTCACTAAACTCAACACACATCATGAATATGTTCAACAAACTAGGAAGAGAAAAAACTTCTTCAACATGGTCAAGTCCATCTAAAAAACCCTGGGTCAACATCATACTTAATGATGAAAGACAATATGTTTTCCTTCTAAATACAGGAAAAAGATGAGGAAGGATATTTGCTCTTGCAACTTTGATTTTACTTCGATGTGGACTCCCTTTTCCTTAGGTGATGACTCTCCAGCTTTCTTGGCAGATTTTGATGGATCTTGATTATTTTTTCTTTCCACATAGATTTACATTTTTTACACTTCCTTAAACTAGTATTAGTGGTGTTTTGTAAAGAGCAGGATTAAATGCCTGTTTTCAGTATATACTATGTTTAATCAGAAGTCTAGTCTAAATATTAAATCTAAAACCAAAACCATAAAAACACTCACAATTCTAATGTACATCTGGGACTATGAATTACTACCATACTGCTATACCTGTAGTTTTCTTCTTATAGCACTCTTTTACATTATACTAATTGGTGTACATGTTTTATCTTCTCTACTCATCTCTGAATTCCTAAAAGTGGAGGGTTGTAATGTGTTTATTTTTCTATTCCACAATGCCTGGTATAACCCATCAGAAATTATGATTTTTGTAAATGTTTGTAAATAAAAGAAAATATATGTGCCCACAACATTATTTGGATTTTGCTGATTGGATGCTAATAAACTTTTACGATGAATACACCTATTACTCCTTGCCATAAAAAAAAAGCAGTATACTTACAATGAATAGGGTAGCAATGCCTTGACACTGACTAACTGTTTGAACATAGCCACAAAAGTAGTGTTGATCTAGAATGAGACCAAATGCAATGAGAATGATTCCAGCTGTTGCTCCCAGGGCACTAAGAAAATTCATTATTCGGCTCATCTTCACCTGAAAGAGATGAAGATCATGACATTGTGTCTACACACAAAGCAACAGTGAGGGAGACTGGATGGAGAGAGGATTTTAGTCACAGCACTGCAATGCCACAAGGCAGTTGTGTGATCCTATGGGTGTGACACTTCATCCCTTTGGGCTTCAGGCTCCCAGACACAGAATGAGGGAATCCAATGAACTTTTAATAACCCTTCCATTTCCCACAATCTGTACCTAAGTTAACTCCCATTTAGTTGGGGGGAGGGATGCACACTGAACAAAAGAGGTACTTAGGCGTAGCCACATTGATGCTCTGGTAAAAGTCATGACCTACTTACATTTTTGTTTTATGACTCTGTTTAACTAAACACTGTATATCTTTGCAATTTTATTTTTTCCTAAAACTTCAAACCTACAGGAGAAGTCCTGTGTTGGAAATAATTTATTGGATTGTTGATTAATTGATTAATATTTGATTCATTGAGAAAAGTAAAAATATTCTACTTATGATTTATCTGTAAGTTAAAATTTTGCATTATTAACACTGTATTATTTATTTTGAACTTCTGCTTTTAAGATTTAACTAGGTTGTCTTCACAGTGTGTCTATGAGTCACACTAGTGCCTTTCAAAGTGTCTGGCATGAGGTGACACCAAAAATACTTACAGAAAAAATGAATGAATGAGTTACTGGAATATTGAGACCCATTTCACCATTTGGTTTAGGAACTTGGCATTTATTCTATGCCTCAGTGTTTTCATATATAAAATAAGAAACTGGATAACCTAGAAAACTCTTCTGGCACTAGTGTTTTATGATTCTATGGACAAGAGACAAATGCCCTTGATTGGTGTCAGTACTTGACAGTTTGTGGAATTATAGTGGGTTAATGATTTTCCAAATTCATTTTCGAGGTGAAAATCAATTATTTCAGAGTTGCAAATTTTTAGTAAAGGACAAAATGTAACTCACCAGAGTTCCTGTGGGTTTTCTTTCCAGTGCAACTAGGAAGGCTCCAGAATTAATGAACTATTAAAAAGAATAAATAATCTCAGTGATAGGCTTGCTTAACTGAAATTAAAGAGTTCTCAGAGAATAGAATCCCTTTGTTTCTTTTGCATTCCTACCTTCCTAGCTCACATGATCCGGAGCAGTGAGCACAGATGCCTCATAATATTGTCAGCAAATAATTAGTGGACAAATTGCTGGACTAGAAATTATTTTAGCCTTAACTATTTGAACATGGGATTTTTGGCTTTAGTTTTCTTATACACCTTCTTTGTATAGCTGTTGTGGACTCAGCTCTGATATGACACACTGGTGTCAAACCAGTTTCACAACCAATAAGATCAGATTCCGTCATTCATTTTTTTTTAATTTATTTCTTCATGACAGACACACAGAGAGAGGTGGAGACACAGGCAGAGGGAGAAGCAGGCTCCATGCAGGGAGCCTGACGTGGGACTCAATCCCGGGACCCCAGGTTCATGACCAGGGTCCAAGGCAGACGCTCAACCGTTGAGCCCTCCAGGGGCCCCAGATTCTGTCTTTCTTACAAGAAACACCTTTCACACCATTTGTGATCCAGTATGTTCTTCTAACTAATATGCCTGGAATTCTGAAAACAATCTTAAATATATGTGTATGTATTCATGTGTGTATGTATATATGTAATATAATATGTATTATGTGTATGTATACATATAAAGTATATAATATATATGTACACACACATATATAGACATACTTGTTTATCATCCATTAATTGTCGAGGGGTTGGCTTTTGTGAATAATGCTGCTCTAGACATGGAGGTGCAGATATATCTTTGACATAGGGTTTTCATTTCCTTTGGATATATTCCCAGAAGTGGAATTGCTGGATCATATGGTAATTCTATTTTTAATATTTTGAGGAAACTTCATTACATCTTTCATAGTGAGGGTTCATGTATTATTAACCTTTGGATCCTCTTTGCCTTCCTCTATGTATGTGGCTTATAATAAATATCAACTCATTTTGAATGAATGAATGGACAAATGACATCAAAACCCAAGGGCATATTCCCAAAGGAACTTCAGGACTGATGGAACATCAGCAATTCTGATGAATTAATGGGGAAATAATTCCAGCAAAGTTGATTTTTATATTATCTTTTCAAGCGTATCATATAACCGAATGCAGCTCATTTTGTGGTTAAGAATTCCCTAGATTCCCTGTTGGCATGGCTTCAGATTAAACTCATTGACTATACTCACCAAAACAGAGCTCCAGAATGGATATCCTGAAATAAATATAAAGGGGAACCTTGGGTATGGATTTTCCAGAGTGAAAAGGAAAATGACTCCAAAAGAAAAGTTCATCACTCCAAATAGGATCTGCATAGCCTGTAAATAGAGAGAAAAGTCATGGTAAGGAAAAAGCGGAATAGTGGGTTACCTTTCAAAAAATGTACACAATCTTCTTTTGGTTAAAAGGATTTGACAATTACCTTGTTTTATAAATAAGGGGAGGATAGTAGAAGCCCCTTCGTGATTCTCCCAGGTGCTTTCTTGATTCCTTTATCTGATATTTGGTAACAGGTAAAATGATCTAGATCAATGCTCTGGCAAATGTAGTCCAGGGATTGGTAACATTAGGATCACCTGAGAATGAGAGATGCAGACTCTCAGGCCCTATATCCTATATCCCATACTTACTGAATAGAATCTCCAGGTTAGGCTGAGAGGTCCATGTCAAACTCTCCAAGCAGGACAGAAATGCAAATCAAAACCTCAAAGATATAGGACCTCACATTAAAATGGCTATCATCGAAAAGACAAGATAGCAGGTGCTGGTGAGGATGTGGTGCACCGTTGGTGGGGATGTATCACTATAGAAAACAGTATGTATTCTGTTTTGTCTTTTAATCCCATTAAATCTTTCAAGTCTAATTTGCTCTTTTGCCATTCCCAAACTATGCTACCATGATGCTTTCTCTATCTATCTTTATCTATCTCTATTCTTCTTTCCTTGTGTCCTTTTCATTATTAAAATTCCATCACTGATTCAGGGTTCAGATTAAGTACCGAATTTGCCATGGCATTGTCTCATTGCTTATAATTTTTATTTTTTTTAAAGATTTTATTTATTTATTCATGAGAATGAGAGAGAGAGAGGAGAGAGAGAGAGAGAGGAGAGAGAGAGAGAGAGAGAGAGGCAGAGACACAGGCAGAGGGAGAAGCAGCCTCCATGCAGGGAGCCTGATTGGGACGGGATCCCACATCTCCAAGATCACGCCCTGGAGGGAAGGCAGCGCTAAACCTCTGAGCCACCCGGGCTGCCCTGTCTCATCGCTTTCAGATAGAAGTAACTGTTTCCCCTCTGGGTTCTCCTGCCCCTCACCCTCAACCATTTGTGGCTCTTGTTAGATGCTATATTTAAATGTGATGGTTAATATTGTTATTTTATTATTTCTAAATATTACTTTATTATTTCTAAATTATGTATTTATTCTCCTCAATGAGATAAACTAGGTCATATTTATTTCTGTAACCCCCATAGTATCTAATATATTTTTTGCCCAGTTTAATCCATATTTGTTAAAGCAATTTGAACTCTAGCAGAAGTTTCAGTACCATTATATTTGAATAGATACTAAAGCAGTTTAGACTGGTGGTCCTTTTCTGTATGTCAGTGGGCCATCTTTCTTCACCCCCCACCCTGGGAAAAAGTACATTTCTTTCTATTTTCTATTCTTGAAGCCTTGGGATTGAAAGATAAAATATTTTGTAAGATATAGGCACTATCATATCTTTAAACATACTGAATCACATTTTCTGAAAAAGATAATTAATATTCATGAAATAAGTAGATGGGGAGGTGAGCATTTACAGTATTAAGGGGATTTTCTGCAAAAGCCCCACATATAAACATATCATATCATATTGTGAAAATGAATTCTGAGTTTTGATTGAGAAAATGTAGAACTGTAGACTCAATAACCCAGGATATAAAATCTGATCTGTTGACTTCTACTTGATTTTCTCTTCCTTTTCTCTGAACTTGACTAGGAAAAAAACCCCTAGATGGTCAGCTTGGAGATTTTTACTTTAACTGCAACCTTCAAGAGCCCAGGGATTTTGGCTTATTCATTTTGTATTTTCCTCTCCATAGACCCTTGTACACAATTGGTTTAGAAATATGACACATACTTCCTGAATTGAATGGAAATAAAAGTTGGAATTACCTTGAAACATTGTGCCACTAGATATTTCTTTCCCTTTTCTTCCCCCTTCCATCTCCCGTCCTAGTTTAGCTTCTATTGCAAAGTTTTGGAATCTATAATACTCTGCTGAGGTGGCTGATTAAGCCCGTGGTTCATAGACTGGGTGGCTTATAAACAACAGAAACTTATTTCTTGTGATTCTGGAGGTTGAAAGTTTGAGATCAGGGTGTCAGCATGATTAGGTTCTGGAGTAGACCCCTTCTGGGTTGCAGACTGATGACTTCCCTTTTGTAACTTCACATGGTGGAAAGAAAGCTAGCTACCTCTCTGACCTCTTTTTATAAGGGCACTAATCTCATTCATGAGGGCTTTACCATCATGAATGAATTACCCCCAAAAGCCCCACCTCCAGACACCATTACATTGGAATTATGGTTTCAACTATGAATTGTCGGGAACACAAATAGTCCATAACACATCCTCAGTAGAGTATACATTGTGGAAAATCTGACTTACCCCTAAGATTTTCATTTTTGTAGCAAGTAATTTTGGAAAAGCACTCTTAGACTCAAAGGTTGGGGCTGTAAGGTCTGTTGGCTGCACGTCAGGAATAGTGATCTCTGGAGGAAATACCAGAAATACAGGATTATGTGCAGTTTTTGGATTCATGATGGTGCAGTTGATATTTTGAAACTAAAAAATGTTCTTGATGGTACTTCAGTCTAGACCATGTTCTTCTCCTGTACCAAGGGTGTCTGGAGCTCTGGCATTGTTGTGCTTTGTCTTGGAATTATAGAACCATAGAGTCACAAAGTCATGGAATCTCGGACTGGTCAAGATCTCAAGGTTAGTGAGTAGAATACCCAGGACTGGAGGTCGGAGGACCTGCCCAGTAGTCCTAGTTTAGTCAGGAATTCACTGTGACCTTGGACAAGTCACACCCTTCTCTTGGTTTCAGATTCCATAGATGTACATTGATCAGGCTGAGCTAGATGATCTGTGAAAACATTTTAGTTCCCAAATAAATGAGTATTGTGAACACTTATTCTAGTTCTCTGTCTTCAGGAGGTAGGGGATAAAACCTCTCAGGCCCTCAGAATTAATTAGTAATCCACTTCTTGAAGTAGACATAGTATCTATTTAGCCTGTTACTTTTGTTTTTGCCACCTGATTTTATTAGCTTTAGCTGTGGACAAACCACCTCAAAACACAGTGGCTTCAAACAACCAGCACTTGACTTCCTTCAGAATTCTGTGGGCCATGAGGATGGTTCCTCTCTCTCTCTCGTTCCCTAAGCATGATGACTAGAACAATGTTTCAGTAGCCATAAGACAAGTGGTAGAAAGATTACTTGAAGTTTTTATTATGCTTTAATTCATGCAAGCTAATTCTAGAGATACAGTTCTGAGATAATCCTTAGATCATAAAAGCTTAGAATTAATTCCAAACCCTTTTATTTACTAGATATGAGGTCTTGACTAAATGATATATTAACTTACATATTCATATTAACTTACCTGTTTATTAAAATATTACAACTTTTATCTAAAAATTAGAATAATAATTGTTACCTTATAGGGCTATTATGAGTGAATTATAACCTATTTGGCATGAAGTGAATGCTAAATAAATTGTAATTACAAAAATAATAGCAATTAACATTTTCCCTTATTATTACTATTTTAATCATGGTAATTAAATGCTTCATTTTATGTTTACATTATTTTCAGAGTTTATTTTGGTTGGTTCTTTATCAGCTAAATATTCAGTGTATTTTTACAGGCTTAGGTATAGAAACTTTGGAAATGTCATACTGAATTGGTCCAGAAGTTATTTTATCTCATTTCTGTATTTCAGAGTGGCTATGAACCTCCATAGCCCCCCTGCTAATAAAGTATCTAGGCTCAGGGATGCCTGGGTGGCTCAGTGGTTTAGTGCCTGCCTTTGGCCCAGGGCGTGATCCTGGAGTTCTTGGATCAAGTCCTGCATCGGGCTTCCTGCATGGAGCCTGCTTCTCCTTCTGCCTGTGTGTGTGTCTCTCTCATCTCTCATGAATAAATAAATAAAATATTAAGAAAATACATGGGTAAGATAAATTTGTGCACTTACGTTTCTTTCTTCCCATATCTTGAGCTTTCTTTTTATTTTCCATTCTGCCAAAATCTACTCTTTTCTTGGGAATTATTCTAACTCTAAAGTGTTTTCTGGAATAATGTTCAATATTACTGTATTACTCAGTGTTCCCAAATCAAGCTTTACTTCAGCCTGATATTGCTGGCTATTCCAGGGAAGTTACAATGACCCAAGTGATTGATGTTTTTGGATTCATGGTTAATGGGATCAGAACTCTCACTGTCACAACTTCCCTAATTCTCTTGCTAGAAAGTTCCAAGAAAGGCCCTCTGTGCTTTCTCTAGCTCTTCTTTTCCTACAGCTGAAGCTCAATTTTGTTTTTAAATTTTTTATCTTTCTCTCTGTTGTAAAATATCCCCCCTTTTAAATATCCATAGTCATATTCTAGACAGTAGAAGCCAACCAGTTTGATCAGATGTCACCTGTTTAGGGGTTTGCAGATCCTCTAAATTTCTCTTGCTTTTTAAGTTATAAATATTTTATCCCATGAATGATGATAAAACCTAGTGTACTTCCCAGATATATTTCAGAAGGGGTAATAGGTAATTTGATAAGAAGGAAGGGGATTATTTTAACTATGGACTAAAGGGGAAATAAAATCAGTGCCCAGAACATCACACAGGTAAAAACATAATATATCAGAACCTAAAAATAAAGACCTTAATTAGAAAGATATGAAAGATATTGAAACGTAGGGTTTCTTAAATCAGTGACACAGTAAGTTTATCTAACAGAGAGGCTCACAGATGGCAAACACTGAATGTTCTAACCTTCCAAAAAGCTTTTCTCATATTTCCCTCTACCATGTGAATAGACAAACAAAATTATTATAAATGTAAGGAAATATGAAATATAGAAACAGAAATAAAAAGGAAAAATCAGGAACTATGTAAACCCAAAAGAAAATCTCAGTAGAAGTGTTGGGATGTTAAGAAGGGGAAATGTTTTGATATCAAAACATTGTGTTACAGTTATATAAGATATAGCCATTGGAGAAAGTTAGGTGAAGGATACATCAGACACTTATTTTGCAGCTTCAGAGAATTTTGAGGGAGTCTAAAAATACCTCAAAATGTAAAGTTAAACAAAAAACTTTATAGGGCTTGAAAAGTAAAATAAAAACACTGAAGTATGCAGCAGAATACAGTATATGTGTCTATTCATTTTTTATGTTAGAATATTATCCAGAAAACAGTTCTTATGAACATAAAAATCAGCAAATGTGCTTTCATATCTTAGCTATTATGAATAATTCTTCAACAAACATAAGGCTGCATCTGTCTTTTCGAATTAGTGTATTTTTTTTCTTTGGGTAAATAACCAGTACTTGAGTTATTGGATCATATGGTAGTTCTATTTTTATTTTTTTGAGGGACCTCCACAGTATTTTTCCACAGTGGCTGTACCAATTTACATTCTCGCCAACAGTGCACAAGGGTTCTTTTTTCTTCACATTCTTGCCAACATTTGTTATTTCTTGTCTTTTTTGTTTTAGCTATTATGACAGGTATAAGGTAATATCACATTGTGCTTTTGATTTTCATTTTCCTGGTAATTAGTGATGTTGAGCATCTTCTCACGTGTATGTTGGCCATCTGTACATCTTCTTAGGGAAAATGTATATTCAGGTGCTTGGCCCATTTTTAAATCAGATTGTTTGGGGCTTTTTTGGTGTTGATGTGTATAAATTCTTTATATGTTTCAGATATTAACACCTTATCGGATGTATCAGTTGCAAATATCTTCTCCCATTCAACCTGTTGCCTCTTTGTTTTGCTGAAGGTTTCTCCTGCTATGCAAAATCTTTTTATTTTGAGGGAGTCCCTATAGTTTATTTTTGCTTTTTTTCCCCTTGCCTTAGGGGACATACCTAGAAAAAATGTTTCTTTTATATATTTTTTAAAGATTTTATTAATTTATTCAGAAGAAACACCGAGAGAGAGGCAGAGACACAGGCAGAGGGAAAAGCAGGTTCCATGCAGGGAGCCTGATGTGGGACTTGATCCCTGGATCTAGGATCACGCCCCGAGCCAAAGGCAGATGCTTAATCACTGAGCCTCCCTGTCATCCCTAGAAAAAGGTTTCTATGGCTGATGTCAGAGAAATTACTGCCTATGTTCTAGGATTTTTATGGTTTCAGCTCTCATAGACTTAAGTGTTTAATCCATTTTGAGTTTATTTTTGTGTATGGTATTAGAGAAAGTGGTCTAGTTTCATTCTTTTTTTTTACATGTAGCTGTCCAGTCTTCCCAACATCATTTATTGAAGAAACTGTCTTTTCCTCATTTGTATATTATTACCTCCTTTGTCACTGGTCAACCAAATTGACCATAGAAATGTAGGTTTTCTTTCTGGGCTGTATACTGTTCAATTGATCTATATGTCTGCTTTTGTGCCAGGACCATACTGTCTTGATTACTATAGCTTTGTAGTGTATCTTGAAGTCTGGGGTTTTTATACCTCCAGTTTTGTTCTTCTTTGTCAAGAACTTTAACTTTTTTCCCCCTTTGGTTATTCAGGGTCTATGTGGTTCCATACAAATTTAGGGTTATTTGTTCTATTTCTATGAAAAATGCTGTTAGTATTTTGATGGGTATTACATTGAGCTGAGATATGGAAGCAACCTAATGACCCATAGATAGGTGGGTAGATAAAGAAGATATGTATGTGTACACACAAAATGGAATATTATGAAGCCATAAACAATGAGATGCAATCTTGCCATTTGCAACAACATGGATAGACCTAGACGATATTATACTAAGTGAAATAAGAGTGAGAAAGACAAATACCAAATGATTTCTTTTCTTTTAAGATTTTATTTATTTATTCATGAGACACACACACACACAAAGAGAGAGACAGAGAGAGAGAGAGACAGAGACAGAGAGACAGAGAGAGGCAGAGATACAGGCAGAGGGAGAAGCAGGCTCCATGCAGGGAGCCCAACGTGGGACTTGATCCCAGGTCTCCAGGTTCATGCCCTGGGCCGAAGGCGGCGCTAAACCACTGAGCCACCCAGGCTGCCCAATACCAAATGATTTCACTCAAATGTAGAATCTAAAAAACAAAATGAATAAACTGAATGGTTGCAGTTCAAAGCTGAATCAGACCTATAAATACAGAGAATAAACTGGTGGTTGCAAGAAGGAAGGGGGTGAGGGGCTGGGAAATGAGTGAAAGAGAGTGAGACATATAGACTTCCAGTACGGAATGAATAAGTCTTGGAAGTATAAGCCATTGCATAGGGAATATAGTCAATGATATTTTAAAATAATGTTGTATGGTAACTGATGGTAGCTACGCTTGTGGTGAGCAAAGCATAATGTATAGAGAAGCTGAATCACTATGTTGTGTGCATGAAACAAACATTACAATGTGTATCAACTCTACTCAAAAGAATTTTAAAAATCAATAAATGTATTATATCCATATATGGTGAAAGAGGGGGGAAATCTATGGAAGTATTTTGTTTTGCTCTGTTTTTTAAAAAAATATTTTATTTTTTTGAAAGAGGATAAGAGAAAGAGAGAGAGCAAGTGCGGGAGGTGGGGGGTAGAGCCAGAAGGAGAAGTAGACTCCTTGCTAAGCAGGCAACCTGATGTGGGGCTGAATCCCAAGATCCCAGGATTATGACTTGAGCTGAAGGCAGATGCTTAATCTACTGGGCCACTCAGGTGCCTGCTTGTTTTTTTTTTTTTTTTCATAATGAGGGAAGACAGCAAGAGAGAGAAATAAAGGAGATATAAAATAAAAGGGAGGCTATGGGAAAAATCCGAAAGATGAATGATGGAGATTGGGGATGACAGCTATGTACCAGCAATGAAGGGTGAGTAGGCTGGGTTTCACCAGCAGAAACTCCTTCAAAATGATAACATTGATATTATTTATAATATGAATCAGTGTATAAAGGGATTTAGAAAACTGGAGATGTTTGGGGTTGAAAAGGAAAAAAAAAAGAAAGAGAAAAAGCATACAGGAGAGAAGAAAAGGAACACCATTCCAGGGGGGGATGGGAAACATTATGCAGGAGAAAGAATAAGTGACTCTGTTCTGATGGCATATGTGGTCATAAAGATATAACACATGTCTCTCTGCCCGAATTATGGGCTTTATAGAGATGAGGGGGGATGGAGAACATTTATGTGTGTCATCATGGTTGGGAGTTGGAGAGAGGAAAGAGAGTTAAATTTTGATCTTCACAATGAGAAGATCAGTGCTTCTCAACTTTTTTCACATAAAGGCATTCATAAAAAGATGATATTTGTCTGGTGCATGGCTGAGTTAGAAATATTTAGAGTTCCAAATGGATATTCTTGTTACTCAAGATAATTTTGTATGACTAGTTTATTTTTAAAACCATCTGACTACTGGTAACTGATTATTGGTATCCCAGAAAAAGATTACATTGGTTGCACGTGTAACAAAGCAAGCTAATATATCAAAAGGAAAAATAATACATCAAAATATATTTATTACCCTTTCTTCTTCCTTTATTGCACATCAGAGATGTGATCAGAAGAATTACGGCACCCAAGAAAATTTCATGCTCTAATTCCCAGGACTGTGAATATGATAACACACTCTTGAAGAGTTTACTTTGAACTTTACTAATATTACTTCTAAGTAGGGAGATCATCCTGGATTATTTGAGTGGGCCCAGGGTAATCATGGGATCCCTTAGAACTAGAAGCAGAAGTTTGAGAAGGATTTGACAAATTATCATTGGGTTGGGAGATGCAGTGGGAGGCCACATGAGAAGAAATGGAGGTGACTTCTAGGAGCAGAGAGCAGCCTCCAGCAAGGAAACAGGGTTCTTTAACCTCAACTATAAGGAACTTGGTTCTTCCAACAATAAATTATCTTGGAAGAGGATCCCAAGCCTCAGAAGCATCAACCTTGCCAGTACTCTGATTTTAACTGAGAGGGAATAAATCTGTGCTGTTTTAAGCAGCTACATTTGTGGTAATTCATTACACAGCAACAGCTAATACAAAGGAATAAAGGTAAGATTCTTACCATTTAAACAAGATTTTTTGCTTTAGTGGTTCTATTACTCAGAGTAGGTTAACTTCTATACAAAAATTCCGTGCTTTCCTTGGCCTAGTACCATAAAAGTTTTCTCTCTTAGGTCACAATCCAACTGAATGTTCAGCAATGGATTTAATCTACTGTATTTACTAAGGCCCAGTTCTCTACACATCTCAGCATCTTCTGGGCTCTAGATTCTCTGCATCTGGCCAGTACAGAAGGAACAGAGATTATTAGAAAGATACAGGAGTTTAAGGGGCCAAGCCTCACCTCACCAACATCCCATTGGTAGTCACCTTCTAGCCCCTCTGATCCTTCTCACCTACTGTAATCCTTAAGTTGGAGATTTAATATATCAAATGAAGGTGTACTTGTGAGCAGTCAGCTCATTTCCCCCCACAGTATATACAAGGTAGCATCCAAAAATCAACTTTTCCCAGTTTTACTCCTAAGTTAGCAGTAAGTTTAAAAGAAAATAGGTTGCCTTTAAATAAATCATAAATGCTCTGGCTCCCTCTAGTCTCTATTTTTTTTAAAAAAATATTTATTCATGAGATACACAGAGGGAGAGAGAGGGGCAGAGACACAGGCAGAGGGAGAAGCAGGCTCCATGCAGGAAGCCCGACGTGGGACTCGATCCCCGGTCTTCAGGATCACACCCTGGGCTGAAGGCGGCACTAAACCCCTGAGCCACCTAGGCCGCCCTCCCTCTAGTCTCCTTCACCTTGTTTTATAAGCAGCTACCTCATTTACATTCGTTTATTGGCTCCTAAATACATTTGATTCATCCGCTCTAGACCCAAACTCATTGGTGGGACAGTGCAAGGTATCTCAAAAAGGGGAGGTAACGGGGGAGAATTGCCTTTGGAAAAGCAGAGAAAAGGGGAATTCCTGCGTTGTAAAGGTGCCTGTGGGCTCAGGGGACATTAGGGGCTTCTGACTTGCTCCCTAGCATTCTCAGTGGGATGGAAAAAACTCAGAGAGGATGATTTTTAACTTTCTTAAATTTTCACATTGTAAGTCCAGCACCTAGGAACTGTATTTTTTGCAATTTTGGAAGAAAATCCTGTATTCCAAGTGTGGTACAGGAGCGTCAAATTCACAGGGCACTTAGAGTCTAATAGAACTGAGTTTCTCAGCGCTCTTTGGTGTGGACTGGCCAATGATGACAGGAATCACCTCTCCAATGGCTTACACTGTTTTAAGACTACAAGACCCTCTGCATGGGTGCATCAGTGTGTTCATGTGTGAGTCTGTTGGATGGGTATGGAGAAAAATGGGAAGAACTGACTGCGTGGGTTGGATTCTCAAAGAATATGATTAAGAGTTGCAAATATCTATTTCCTGAACACCTGCATTTGTGGGCTGAAAGTTAAACACCTCATATAAGCACCATATAATATATGCTAATCTAGCTGAAGCAAATGGGGGAATTAGTATTATTCAGAGTGATTTGAATACAAAGTAGCAACGGTTTAGGAGCTGAAGGCCAACTCAGGTAAGGACCCTACCAAGGTTGAACCAGCTTGGGAAGCTCAGGCAGCTGACCTTACTACGGAGGCAAAGGCAACAAGGATTGCTCGTCTCTCTGTCTCCATGTCTCATTATTCTACCACAGATAAGTTCCCTCACCTGTAGATGGAGAGATTATGCTTTTAAAAATGATTGAGTGCTTATTCAAAGTGAGCCTTTGTATGGAATTCTGCTGAAGACATAGCTATGACACTGTCTGGGGTTATTCACAAGGATATGAGATAATTATGTGATGTGTGTATATGATTTCAAAAAAGGAGTAAGTTGGAGAAAATCCTGGAAATACTTATTTTAGACTTTTTGAAATGGGAAGAAAATTGCAGAAGCCAATAAGAGTGAAGATTGCAGAGAGGAGGGCTGGTTTACAACTCCAAATGTATCCAAGAAATTGAGGAGAAAGAGGATTGAAAAAAGTTATTAGCCTTGGAGTATGCAGGGTAACTCATGGCTTTTGACCACAGACCTTACTATTAAAGGTCAATTTCCTTTGACCACTGAGGTCATAGAATTGATAAATTACAAGTGAGTGCAGACATTTGGAAGTAGAACTTCACTCAATATATCACAGTTTGTCATACTTTGTTATGACATTTTCATCTCTGCCATTCCCTGCCTCCTACCTTCCTGTCCCTAAGTATGTTTCGTTCTCTTCCTATATACATTCTGGGCTCATTGCCACATTATATCTCATTAATAACTGGACAAACAGATTATACATATCCTGAACACAGATTTGTGGAGAGAGGAGTAAATTGGATGATTGGAAACAGCAAAGCAGGGGAAGGTGGGATTGATTTTTACTTCTGACTCTTGGTTCTTGAACCCTTAAAGAACCTACATAGATTTCTTCCTGTTTGACTTACTAAGCCCCTGTAATACACAGAGGAGGAGGGAAGGAGGATTAGCACCATAGAAAAGTAGGTCCATTAAATATTAAGCTGTACAACAGAAATAGGCTCATCAATAGAGAACTGGTCATTGGCAGGGGTTGGCAAAGTAGGTGAAGGGGATTAAGAGGTACAGACTTTTACTTTTACAATAAAGTCGTGGAGATGAAAAGTGCATCACAGGGAGTATAGTCAATTATACTGCCAATAACTTTGTATGGTGACCGATGGTAATCACACTTACCGTGGTGAGCATTTCATAATGTATATAATTGCAGATCACTGTTGTATACCTACAACTAATAGTGTTATATGTCAACTATACTTCAACAAAAAAATCATTAAGCTGTAAAATGAATTGGTGATCACACATTGAAACACTAACACTGATAACAAAGTTTAAATATGAACTACTTCTTCAAACTCAGAAAGTTCTGATACAGCATTAATATTAGCTACCATTTTATTTTAATTAAGGACAAATCCTTTGAGTGTTATGCATGGCCTTTGTTTTCTGCTGAGTGAAAAAGGTAGCAGCTATGCTTGAGAACATAGGTTGGAGGAGACTATATTGTTTTTCCTTATTTTGTTTTCATAATTGGGAGCAGTATGGCATTTGGGTAGATTATGCACGTTAGTCAGAGTCTTCAGAATGCTGTTGGTCTTTCGGGTAACATGAGGTGGTAGTTAAAGTTATATCTTCTTGGTATGTAGTTGAGCAAATTGAAATGTTTTTCTGAACATCTTGTTCTGAATTTATATCGGACGTAGAGGTGAAATGTGTGTCTTGCACTGAGCTTTGGCAGGAGGAACAATTACAATCTGGCTTTTTGTCTTCCAACTGCAGGTTGTATAGGTTTTGGCTCTCACTTTTCATGTCTTCTGATTTGTTGTCTGTTTGCATGGTGTTTGTTTGCATATCTTCTTTTTGGGTATCTGTGTATTTAAGGTCTTGTTGGTTCTTATCTTGATACTGACTGTCTTGAAATGGAATGCTCTGTAATTGTTGAGGTCGAGTTATGGCATGCACAGCTTGGACATCTTGGTGTAGAGCTTTCTGCTTTAGGGATTCTTTTTCTAATAGATCTTGGGTTTGCTGGATTTGAGATTCCCACTTTAGGGAATGCGGCATTTCTAATTGCATTTCCTGCACTTTCCAGTCTTTGCTTCTCCAGCCTTGAGCTTTCCAATCTTGGGATTGTTGGCCTGAAAATTGCCAGCCTTGGTGTTCCTGGATTTGGAGTTGCCCATCTTGATGTGGCTGCTTTAGAGATTTCTCCTCTTGGACCTGCAGGTCTTCAGTTTGCTGGTATTTGCTTTGTTTCTTGATGGCTTGCCCCTTATAAACCTGTAGAGCTTTATCTTGTCTTTCTTTGTGTTGTCTCATTGGAGATTGCTTCTCTCTGTCCTGTTGATCTTCACCTTGCCTTTGTAATTGTTCCCATTGGACCACCTGGACCTCAGCTTGCTGATCTAGCTGTTGCTGTCTGTCTTGCTTAACTTGGATTTGCTTATCTATAGAGTGCCTCTTTGGAGATAGCCAGTCCTTGATGTGCTGGTCTAGGGATTTCCTTTTTAGGGATTGTTGGCCTTGAATTTGCTGGTCTAGGGCTTTTTGTTTTGGAGATTGCAAGCTTTTGTTTTGTTGCTCTAAATTAGGTGACTTTAGAGATTGCAAATTTTCGTTTTGCCAGTCTAGGGATTGCCACTTGGAGGATTTCCTGCTATGGAAGTCCTCCTTAGATTTCCATTCTTGGGTCAGTAACTTGACTTCTGATTGCATATCTTGATATGCTGCTTGCATATATTGTTGGTTTTGTTGTTGAAGCTCTAAGGACTGCTGATTTAGGCGTTGTATATTAGAGGACTGTGCAGCATGGAATGTTGGGGCTTCAAATAGCATGACTTGTGTAGGCAGAGTTTGTATCTGGGAAAGCAGATTTTGGTTAGGTATGTCTTGGGGTGGTAGATCTTGGGATAGCATGTCTTGAGATGGTATGTTCTGGGATGATATGTCTTGATAAGGAGAATTTTGATGTGCAATGCCTAGGGATTGTAAGTCTTCGGATGATATGTCTTGGTATGGCATGTCTTCTGATGTTAGGCCATGAGGCTGCATGAAATGGGGTTTTGGGGCTTCAGATACTAGGACTTGGGCTGGCAAAGCTTGGGATGGAAAGTCTTTAGGTGATAACGGTTGGGGATTTTTTACAGAATAGGATGGAGAAACTAGGGACGGCAAAGCTTGGGACTGCTGCAGTTGGGTTTGCTTTTTTGGGAGTTGTGTGATAGCAGATTTTAGATCTTCATCTTTTATTTGTTTAGTAGGCAGAATATTTTCTGTGGGCTTTTTCTTTGATGCAGGAGGAAAAGGTTTCAGTTTAGTTTCTTCCTCATAAAGTTGTGAAAGTGGAGGGATACTTTTCCGTTGTTCATCTAGCACAGACTCAGAAGATGTATAATAAGTATTGCTACCTCTCCTCCTTGAATATCGAAAGGTTAAAGGATTTTTTGAGATTCTTAACTTGAAGAAAGTATAGCCTCCAATGAAAACAGGCTGAGTGTTTGATATTGAATCATTAGTAGAAGACTGTTCATGAAACTCAAATTGTATTGCAGCATTTTCTTCAGGGGCAGTTGGTGAACTATCTTGAGTAACATCCGAAGGCAAGAAAAATACAATCTATAAAACCAAGGGGTAGGGGAAACATTAATGTAACAATCAACTTTTGATATTCTTTTCTTCTTGTATTCCCAAGTGATTTTTCATCTCTGCCTTAAGATAGTAGATAGAACATAATACCTACACAAGGAGTCAGAAAACAAATATAACTACTAGCACTGGCTTTGCCATCAACTCATTGGTTTTATTTTGGACAAGTCATCACCTACTATTATCTCAAATATTGAAAAGGGGAATTTGATTAAGATTGTCTGAAGTATTCTTCCCATACTTAATATTATAAAGCTTCTCAGAAATTTAAAATTATCCACTCAGTATTCATATATTCAAGGTTTTTTTTAAAGATTTATTTATTTCACTGAGAGAGCGAGTACAGAAGAGAGGGGGAGAGGGGAGAGGAACAGAAGGAGAGAGAGAGAGAGAGACTCAGTCAGACTCCATTCTGAGTGTGGAGCCTCAGGGCTCAACCTCACAACCCTGAGATCACGCCTGAGCTGAAAGCAAAAGTCCATTATTTAACTGACTATGTCACCCAGGTGCCCCCATATATTCAGTTTTATGATTTACTGTTGACCTACTAGATGAACTAGATACTGGAGATAAAAAAAATATTAGACGTGGGTTTTGCCTATAAGGTGCTCACAATGATAGGTAACCACCATATAAAGAGATGGCAATACAATTTAGCAAATGCTCTTATAGAATAGGTATTAAGCTCTTTGTGGGAATGTAGAGGATGATCAGATTTTGAGGGCCATGAAATGTTTCACTGAGGAGTAATAGCTGATGGTTGAGTAGGAATTCCTTATCCAAAAAGGTCAGATGAAGTAAGATAGGAGTTGAAATCCAGGTAGAAATAAACAATGGGCACCAAAACATAAGGTTATGATGCAGTATTATGTGACGAGAGGGTAAGCAGTTAGACATTGCTAGATGGTGTGCTAGGCGCTATAAATTGAATGCTTGTGTCCCTCCAGATTTATATGTTGAAACCTAATCTCCAATGTGATGGTATTTAGAGGTAAGCTCTTTGGGAAGGAGATTAGATTATGGGGCTGGGTCTCCTGTAAATAGAATTTGTGCTTTTATAAAGGGACTTCAAAGAGCTCACTTGCCCCTTACTCCAAGCAAGGACACAGTGAGACTAACAACTATGAACCAGGGCTCTGAATCTGCGAGGACCTTAATATTGGACTTCCAGTTTTCAGAACTATGAGTAATAAATCTTTGTTGTTTAAGCCACTCTATCTGTGGTATAGCAGTACAAATAGACTAAGACACAAATCAATACCAAGAAGTGGGAGTGCTGCTGTAACAAATACCTAAAAATGTAGAAGTAGATATAGAACTGGGTGATGTTTGGAGCCTGGCAGACCTTGGAGGTGCTTGCTAGAAACAGCTTATCTTGCTGTGAATGGACCATTAAGGGCTGTCATGGTGAGGGTCCAGAAAGATAAAAGCCATAGATAAAGTATAAAGTCTTGGTCTTCTTTTTTTTTTTTTTTTCAAACCCTTGTGTTGAGGGCTAAGTCTCGGTCTTCTTAAAGAATACCTAAGTACTCCTGAACAAAATGTTGGTGGAAATATGAAAGATAAAGGTGATTCTGCTGAGGTCTCAGACAGAAATGAGGAATGGGTTATTGGAAGCTGGAAAAAAAGTGATCTTGGCTATAAAGTGCCAAAGAACTCGGCCAAATTGTATTTGAGTTCTGGTGTTAATGGAAGGTAAAACGTGCAATAGTGAATGAAATGATGAAATTTCATGTAGTAAATGATATTATTAATAATTAACAATAAGTATTTTATGAAATTTAGCCAAAGCTATTTCTAAACAGTGTTGAAAGTGAGGGTTGGCTCCTTCAGGCAGCTAATAGTAAAATGTGAGAAGAAAGAAATTACTTAAAAATGGAATTCTCTAGCAAAAGGGAAGCAGGACTTGATGGTTTGGAAGATTCCCAGTCTACCCACATTGCAAAAAATGAGAACACTAAGACTATGAGGCTTAATTTTTGCCTGATGAGGAAATTGGTATAGATCAGCTGTCTCAATAGAAGCCAGAACCTATTCTCCAAAACAATGGAAGAACGACACTGAAGGTGATTCAGAGTGTATCAGGGCTGCCACTCCTACCATGGGCCCAGAGTAAAGGGCCCTGGAAGAAGGATGATTTCTAAGGGTAGGACCACCTCTGTGGTTTCCAGCTGAGCCAGAATGCCTCTCCTCGGGGGCGCAGAGCTGTGCCAGTGTTGAGAACTGCTGCATGGGTTGCAACCAGCTGAGCCATGGGATTGCGACCACATCCACTGAGATTTCAAAAGACGGGACTTCCTGACAGAGCCGTGGGCTTGGGATTCCAGCCTGCAAGGACTATAGGGCCCAGTCAGAGAGCTGCTGCAGGGGGCAGAGCTCAGGGGGAGAATGACTGTGGAGCCTTCCTGCTCACCCATGAGGGTGATGTCACCTCCACAGTGAGCTTGGAAGTCAGAGCGTCTAGCTAAAGAGAATTATTCCTGAGCCTTAAGGTTTGTTTACTCTGTTAGGTATTAGACTTACTTGGGACTTGAATTTTCTTTTTCTCCTATTTCTCCCTTTTGGAAGAATACACCATAGCATTTTGGAAGTTTGGTGTCATAACATGTCTGGTTTCATAGGTTCACAACTAATGGAGAATGGATCATACGTTGAGTCTCACCATATCTGATCTAGATGATATTTAGATGAGATTTTGGACTTGACTTTAAAGTTAATGCTAAAACAAGATAAAGACTTTTGGGGCAATTGGGATGTAAATAATATATTTTTCATATGAAAAGGACAGGAATTTGGGGAGCAGGAATGGATGGAATATTATAGATTGAATTTGTTCCCCCTAAATTCATAAAACTTAATCCCCAGTGTGATGGTATTTGGAGGTGGGGGTCTTTGGGAGGTGATTAGATCATGAGGGTGAAGCCTTTATGAACGGAATTAATACTTTTATAGAAAGAAACCCAGATAGTACCCTTTCCCTTCCCTCCATCTGAAAGCACAGTGAGAAGATGGCATCTATGAACCAAGAAGTGGGTGCCCACCAGGCTCTGAATCTACTAGCACTCTGATCTTGGACTTCCGGCCTCCAGAACTCTGAAAAATTTTTGTTGCTTGAGCCACCTAGTCCATGGTATTTTTGTTACAGCAGCATGAATATATCAGGACACTAGGGCAGGAAATTTGCGCTTTCCTCTACAGACAAGTGAGATCTACGAAGTTTTTTAAGCAACTAAATGACAGCATCTGATACCACCTTTAGCCAATGCTTCCAGTTCTTCACAGTTTTGTTTTTATTTTTTGTTTGTTTTGTTTTTGAGAAAGGCTGTCATTACAGACCTATCTACTTAGTTTTGTCAGCCTATGTCCTTTCTTAGGTCATCCATAGAGTCAGAAGAGACTACTTGTTCTGTTCGATGAAGTGATTGGCACTCTGGGTGATTAAATAACCTAATTGTGACTACCTATTTGATTGATGGCTGGCCTAAAATGAGTCTCCGTGTTCTCTTATACTACACATTGTCATTCTCCACCTTCTAATTTGTTTTCACATCTATGTTTTATTGCCTTTGAAAGGCTATTTATGCAAAGATTAATAGCACTTTAGGGGATATTTCTGCATTTTTACTCATCCTCAAACATTCATTTCATTTGAATAGTATTTTTTTCATTTGTAAAAAGAAAGATTTGAAGGCATGAATTATAATTTCTTTAATTTTATTTAAGACTTTAAGTGTATAACTTTAAATGTACTCATCAGTGATTACCAAATGCTAGACAAGGTTCCAAAGTCATCTCAAAAAATAGTTATAATATCCTTATGCGGTTATTAACCTTGTTTTATGACTCAGAGAACTGAGGTTTCAGTCAGTGTCACAGAGCTATTACTTGTGAAGCTAGGGGTCATACATTGCAGTTGAATTCTAGATCCTGTGCTTTTCTCTCTATCTAATATATTTAATTTCTAATACATGCTTATTTATAATAACCACTTCAGTTACACTTTACTCCAGGATGGCTATGACTGAAGACTATATAAAATAATGCCTTGGGCATTGTGGTTGGCACAGAGAAGTTACTCGGTAAATATTAAGAGTTCACTTTCCCTTTCCTTTTCTTGAGATCAGGGTGCATATTACATAGTACCTTTGCATTCCCTGTTATACTTTGCACATTACTATGCCATTAGAAAACCCTTTTTGTGGAATTAAATCGAATAGTTATTCAGTGTAACTCATTTTAATATTGCTCGTAAAGAGTTTCATACTCTTCTGTGTTGTATCAAGAAAAGAAGAGTATGCCAAATACCTGGGCTCAGATGAAATAATAAAAGTGTAAGCATGAGATGAAAAATTATAAAAATTGATATTCATTCATGATAAAAAAGTTTCTTTACAAATGAGGATAAATTTAGTCTATGAAAACCCTATAGGCAATATCATAATTAAGGGTAAAATATAAACCTTTTCAATCTATGGTTGGGAATCAGAAAAGATTGTTGTTGAAAACCAACAAAGTTGCAAGATTTATACTATCTGATTTTAAGGATTATTATTCTAGGGAAGCCCCAGGGAAGAAAGCAGAATAGGAAACTCCTGGAATTAATGTGTTCATCTAGACAACAAATGTATTGGCAGAAACACTCTGAAATAACTATTTTGCAACTCTGGAGTCTATGTGAACACTTGCAACTTCCAGGGGAAAACTTGGCTAGTAAATCCATGTGTTATGTAAGTCAATTTAAGCCTTCAGCATCATAGTGACTACTTATCACCCACTCCGAGCCTTTGACAGGCAGCTGGGGGATGGCAACCCATATTTCAGGAGCCATGGTGGGCAATTAGGATTATGTCTTCCAAATATCAGGTTTCTGTGTTTTAATTGCAGATTGCTGCTTCTAATCACTGATGTGTAGGCTCAGAGGCTAGATTCCATTATTTCAACACATCCTAACTGAAATAGCTCTATAGGAA